CCTTAGGCCACATGTCCGCGGCAAAGATAGGCTCGGGGCCACAAGGAATAAGACTTAGACCGAAACTTCTCTCTCTCTCTCCTTATTGCCCCTCGTCTCCCCACATCATGCGCCTACTTCCCGAAGACCACCTTCGCCATCACCTACCTTGCACCCCTGCAGCCCGGCTATGGCTGCTGTGCGCCCGCTGCCCTTGCAGCGCCCCTCACCTCAGCACCCGTGCGCGCATCCCACCAGCAGCGCCCAACTTGCACAGCAACGCAGCAGCGTGTCCGCATTGCCTGCCTAGGCCAGAATGCCTCTGCCTGGGCTGACCTCTTAACTTTATGGAAAGTGCAGCCCCTGTGCGTGTCTGACCGAGCCTGGCTGGGGAAATTAGGTAGCTTCCAGTCGGGCCCCAGTCTGTGCGCCCAGGCCCACCTCTACAGTTAATAGCCTGGGTCCATTTCGGTTGGGCACATATAAGTAGCCTCCCAGGCTCCAGGCGTTGGCCACATTCTCATTGGCTCGCAGAGATTGTGTGACGACAACGCTGCTTTCTCATTCGCCCGTGGCCGCTCCGTGATGTGTCAGCCTCACACTGCATGTGCCCAGGGCGCAACCACCGGCCCTGGGCTCAACAGTACAGCGCAGTCCTTGTTTCCTGGAAAGAGCCTGGAGGCTCATGTTTCCCTGCAAGCAACTGGCGTGCTGAAGCTGTCTGTGTACCCACATATGGAAAATGTCAAGTTCGCAATTGGTTGGAATTCGGGATCGCCCGAACTGCAAACACTGGGGGCGACGGAGGGACCATAGTCGTGATTGATATCATACATCCCAAAGGGTCCTACGACGAACACAAATTTGATTGATCATTCACACGGCGTCCATCCAGGTCGCAGTTGCCAAGCCTCTGCTGGCTTACTTACAGCCGCTAACTAAGGACCTCCGTGAGAGCTGTTGCGAGGAAACTTGCACATACGGTTCGGGAAAGGCTCTCTGATGCCTATCTATGTATGAAGGCATCATTTATGCTATTTCACTCCGGCCGCCTATAACTGTATAAACAGTGGCAAGCCGCAAGTTATATCGCCTTTACTGGCCAACATTGCTTTGCACGGAATGGAGAATGCTTTGAATGAGTGGGCTCAGCAACAGGGGGTCGAAGGCCGAGTTATCCCCCTCGATAATGATAATGAGAAGGTCGACAGAGCCGCCGTAGTAGGGGAACTAAAGGGCGACAGTCACGAAACGATGGCAGATGGCGCAGCCTCTCCACAACCGGATTTCTGGAAGTGCCTGCCGAAGCTTGAAACTCTGCTGAGAGAATGATATGTTCATGTAGAGCCATATATCCCATCAGAAATGGTAAAAGGAGCTTCTACATATTCCATTTGGATCTCGTCGTTCAACCAATTATGCTGCTCAAGCTACTGCTGAGATTGTAGCGAGTGCTGCTATTCCATTAGGAATTAAGTCAGTTGAAGCGAGAATCAAAGGTTTAGGTTATGGAAAGCAGGGTTGTCGAGCCCTTGCCCCGGGGCGGGGGTCTGGGGGTCCAGGGGTGGGCACCCCCAACCCCGGCTCCAGACCCCAACAAAAAAAAATAAAAAAATAAAAAAATCGCAAAACAAAAATAAAAATAGCGGGGGGTGCGCAGTGAGAGCGCGTACCCTGTGGGCTAAACCCCAAGAATGGGGTTTTGTGCCCCACCCCAGATCCCCCCCGGGGCCACACCCACCACTGTGGGGACCAGGGTACCTGTGGGTGCGGGGCCGGGGGCGGGGCCAACAGCCGGCGGGGGCGGGGTTGAGTGCTGGGGGGGGGGGGGGGGGGGGGGGGGGGGGGGGGGGGGGGGGGGGGGGGGGGGGGGGGGGTGCAGCAGGGGTTAAACAGGGGCGGGGCTAGGCGCGGAGGTGCGGGCGGTGGCAGGGGGTCAGCTCGGGGGTAAAATGGTTTGGGCCCCGGGGATCCCCGCGTGACAACGCTGATGGAGAGCCTTAAGCCTTACACGGTTTTGGAATCCTTAATTCATCACTTTGTGTGTCTGTACCAGCTTCTTCTACGTACACCTGTGTAGAAGCACCCAAAGGAGACTTTGGTGTATATTTAGTTAGCAACGGAACCAATCGTTTTTATCGTTGTAAAATTTGAGCACCCGGTTTTGCTCATTTACAAGGGCTTGATTTTGTGTCGAAACATCACACGCTCAAAGATGTGGTTGCTATCAGCGCATGCTGCCCCAAAATGGCTGGTGGCGTGCAGCACATTTCCAGCCCCGTAGGAAAGTGCCCCGGGAGTATTGGCGGTTAAAACCACCTGTACAGCCGGAATTTTCGTAGGCGATAAAAACAAGCTCTCTCCACAAGGCTGGGGTCGTGTACTGGCAGCTTGTAACACACACCGGAGAAGAACGCGAACCGACGAAGGATTCACCGACTATTGCAGTCGGATTAACGAAATAACATACTTCTGAATTGCCTGCGGGTGGTCAGTTCAATGATATGATATATCAAGGCTGTCGCCCATTTATAACAAAAATTGAATAAAAAGGTAAGGAGTCTGTGATGGTTGATCTTCACAATACTTCTCTTTCTCTTTGCAAAACAGCTCAGCTCATTGATACGCAACCCTACAAAAAAGTTGAAAAAAGAAAATAAAAAATGCCGTGGAAGTTCTTTTTTGTTTTGTTTTGGGTAATATTAATACCTTCACAATACTTCTCTTTCTCTTTGCAAAACAGTTCAGCTCATTGATATGCGACCCTTAAAAAAAAAAAACCAAGTTGTGGGTGTTTTTTTTTTTTTTTTTTTTTTTTTTTGGGTAATACCATACTAATACGTTCACAATACTTCTCTTTCTCTTTGCAAAACAGCTCAGCTCATTGATATCGAAAGGCATTCCACGATGCAGACCCGAAATTCGAATTGCAGGTTCAAGGTCTCAGGCCAGGTCGGTCAGTTTCAGAAAAGTCAAACAGTCACATCCCGGAGGCAGAGGTTGCGCTCTGTAAGCGGAAGTCACATCTCATATTGAAAAGTCATACCCCACAGGCAAAGGACACATCCCCAGGCAAAAATCGTGTCCCAGAGGCGAGAGTCCCATCCCACAGTCAAAAAAAGTCATGTTCCACAGGTGAAAAGTCACATCCCACAGTAAAAAAAAGTCATTTTCCACAGATGAAAAGTCGCGATTCACAGGCCCAAGCAGCAGCACACCAATGAAAATTTGGGAAGGATACCAGGCCTTGACATTCTGAAGCAAGCAGGCCGTGGGCATGTGGTACCAGTACCAAGTCAAACCAGACGAAGCAGAGGCTGAGACGAGCTGAAGCTCAATCCAAGTCAATACAAGGACTGGCCAGCGACATTTCAATATAAGGACTGGCCAGCGACATTTCAAGCAGATTGCTCATTTGTGAGAAGTGTGGAAGTGCTGCTGAAGCGCTTGTGTGCTATCTGCGAGTAGCATGCGCGCAAGAGCACTGCTGGGCAGTGCTACACTGAGAGGGAAGGCGGCCATAGTCGCATAGCTAGTGATAGGAGGTAGTGCTGAGTAGCAGCGGATGTATTCAAAATCTCAGATTCATGATTCTCAAGTAGAGAGAGAGAGAGAGAGAGAGAGAGAGAGAGAGAGAGAGAGAGAGAGAGAGAGAGAGAGAGAGAGAGAGAGAGAGAGAGAGCATGCGTGAGGAAGACCAGGCGAGACAGAGAGAAGACCGAGAAAGGGAGAGGAAGACAGAGAGGGAGAGAGAAGAGAGTCACCTACCTTTGACGAGGATGTTGGTATTCGGTTGCTGTATTCTGCGCTGTTGAGCGAGCGATTGGTGACCAGATCTCCGAAACTGCTTAATGTGATAATTTGTTGGGATTTCTAAGCTGCGCATATCTGGACTTTACATCTCTGGACGTCAGTGTGGATTTCGTGTGATCTCTCAATGTGTTTGTGTGCGCCCATGGTGTCGAGCAGTGAGGCAGTGAGGCTCAATGCAATATGCAACCCTAAAAAAAAAGAAGCCACTGTTGATGAAGGCTTTTCTTTCTTTTATTAAAATGATCAGAACAGGCAATACACTTGATCCTAGCCAAAAAAACCGGGCAAGTTTTGATATGAAGTTTGGGGAACGATGTTAAATCAACTTAAATGCCTCTTACAAGGGGAAAAAGAAGGGGATGATGTTAAATGGCTCTTGCAATCAAGTCGATTCCCTCTAAAAAAATGCATCTGCAGGGGGAGGGCGAACAAGGATGAATTATTTTAGTGGGGCTCAAGGATGGTCAGCTATACTGGCTGGCAAGGACTGAACGAATGAATTGAAATCTCAGATTTCGTAAAACCTTGTGAGCACACAAATTATACATGGGCAACGTCTGAGGGACTCGTTGCCTCGAAAAGGGAAAAAAAAATAAAATCGAAGTGTACAGTCTGGACAGCACTGGCTAGATCCTCCGTTTCTTTCTTTTTTTTTATTTTTTTTATTTTTTTATTTTTTTTTATTTTTTTTTAGTTGTCAATCTGCTCAAATCCTTGCTATGTCTGGACCCTGCTGGGTCCTCCTAACCATTTCTCAAGGAAGGGTGGGGATAAAATAAAAAAAAAAAAAAAAAAAAAGAACAGCAACTAAGGCTGCCTCCACCCACCCACACGTACGATGCCGCTCCATAAAAACAATAAGGTGGGGTACCAATAAGCCAAGGTGCACTTTTTTTTTTTTTTTTCCTCATAGGTGATACAGGACAGCTCAGAGAACTCTCATCCGCAATAATTTCATGCGTAAACCATAACATGGAGGAAAAACAAAAGTTAAAAAACTCACCAATTGACTCGAAAAAAAAAAAAAAAAAAAAAACTTTCACCCTTTCCCCAAGGATTCAAGCAGCAAAAAAAAGAAAAAAAGAAAAAAAAGGCTTTATCTACATGGGAAACCTTCACCAGCAACTATGGGCTGGCCTCCATCCCCTCATATGATCAAACGGGGCGGGGGGGAGGGGGAGGCATCAGGAGTCCAACAAATTCCAGCTCTCGTTATTATTAATTTATTAAATTTATTATTTAAATTTATTTTCAATATTTTCGTGTCACCCACTGCTACCATCTTCCCCTGACATAGCGCATAGCGCACATGCATTGTATTCGAGTTTTTGAAAAAACAATTTGATGATTCGAATAGAACACATGGGCGTTGTACTCTAATATACCAGCTGTTCAGATAGAACGCGTATGCGTTGTACTCGAATAGAAAGCATCTTATGCATTGTATATTCGTTTACAACACATACGCGTTATGTTCGGGGGAAGACAGTACTCTTATTGCAACCATTGAAGAGCCTGTCAGAGTGCGGCAGACCAGAAGCCCCTGGACGCCCGCGGGAGAAGAGCAGCGCAATCTCTCCGGCACAGCTGCACAGTAGGAGCACAGTAGGCAGAGTGCCCATCAAGAACACATCCAGATCACAGAGAGCGGCTTTGCGTCCCTAAGCAGCAGTTGGTAGAGAGGGGCTTTGGCTTCGAATTTTCCGACCGTTTTCTTTTTCTTTTTTTTTTTTTTTTTTTTTTGACGATCGAGGTAAACTGCACATGCCACATACCCTTGAAAAGATTAAAAAAAAAAAAAAAAATCCCAAGGTGGAACTTATTGTACCACCAGCTCATAGATATATCTGAATGATTCTTTCAACGCTGCCGACTGCTCAAAAAATTGTGAGTGACCCTTTCAACGCTGCCTGCCGACCGGTCAAAAAGTCAATGCGGCTGACTGCTGCGTTCCAGTGCGTGAAGCTCCTCCAGATCAGTGAGAAAGCTGCAAAAAAAGGAAGTGGATGTATGTATCTAGTCAGTTTCTTTGATGCAAATTCATTCATAACATGTAACTGGTCAGTTTTTTGATGCAAATTCAGAACAACACAGCATATATGATATGTGACAGTATCTTCCTGTTATTTTCTGTTATGCAATGAACCCAATCTGAAGAGAAGCTCGTCAATGCCAGAAAAACACAATGTCTCAGCGCAGTTTCGAATCTTTCGATGTCTCCAAAATCGTACATATAGTCAGGTAGCCCAGCACCTGGTCACCAGAGAAGAGGATGGTGGAAGGGGAGATGAGACTGAGAAGGTGGAAGAGAGAGTCGAGTACCGCCAACATAGCAGATAGATCTCCCTCACAATCCCCCCTCTTCTTCGGGCATCTCCCGCTCGCCACATCAGCAGACAGTTCCCTGAGGGCGCTTCCCATCAGATAGATCTCCCTCAGAGGCAACTTCCCTCTGACACGCTCTGACAATGAGCTTATCTCACCATGGCGCTTGCCAGCGAAGACACCTTATGAACCCGGACAGCAGTGCGCAACATCGACTACAAACGCAAACAGGTAAGCTCCCTCCACATTGATCCATCTGACAGATCTCATCCTTATCCTCCTCCCCAGTATCCCATCAATGTCATAATCAGTGTGGCGAGAGCCACGTCAGCATAATCAAGTGTCCAGCTGGCGCCGAAGACAGAGAATGGCGCCAGCACACAGCGTTAGCAGTGCTGCGTCGTCGCATCCAGCTTGCAGCGTCCAGCCAGCATCGTGCCAGCGTCAAGCTCGAGTCCAGCCAGCGTCGAGCAGCGAGTGCAAGACTGAATGTTGTGTCAGTCAACAGGGGTTGGGTCAACTCGTAGAGTTGACTCCGGTTGACCAGCCTCCTCTGGTCTCTCGGATACGATGGCCCAGATTGTCTCGCAGCCAATGGCGTGGATCCCACCCATACAGTTGCAGATTCCCACTTGGACTGGATTCCTTACAGATAGATACCTGCAAACAGCCAAAGGTGTGTGTCTGATCGGCGGCCTGGACGGGGTTCATGTTGACTTTGACTCGCGGCCCTGAATTTCCGAGCTGCTGTTGCCGTTTGGCTTTCCACGGCCAACTGGCGCACGTGGGGCCTGTGAAGGCCAGTTTTAGGCCTTGCTTCGGGTACCCCACAGCAGCAGGCCTTCGTTCAGGCAGTTTACATGACTAGGGTGTGGCCTTTTGAAGTTTGACCGCTATTTCGGCCGTTTGACCAAAATGGCGACCCACAGGCCACGACGGATGCATGATTTGAGCTGAGTTATTGCAGTTATTAATTCTAAATTGAAAAGACAATAATATAGATGTATATCGTCACAAATATATATCGTCACAAATAGAACTGCCTACGGTAAACCGTAGGCAGAGAGAGAGAAGAGGACAACAAACGAGGGGCTGTGACAAACTGTTTCGTCGGAGTTTATATATATCGTCAAACAGAACTGCCCGGTAAACCGTAGGCAGAGAGGGAGAAGAGGACAACAAACGAGGGGGTGTGACAAACTGTTTTGTTGGAGTTTCACCGACTATACATATATATATATATATATATATATATAGTCAAACAGAGCTGCCCGGTAAACCGTAGGCTGAGAGGGAGGGAGACGGAGAAGAGGACAACAAACGAGGGGCTGCGTCAAACTGTTTCGTCGGAGTTTCACTGACTCATCAGGAGGCTGAACCCTCAACAGTCTGCAGAATCCCCTAACTGATTACACTGTAAGTGATAATCCACCTTATATATCGTCACAAACAGAACTGCCCGGTAAAACTGTAGGCAGAGAGAGAGAAGAGGACAACAAACGAGGGGCTGTGACAAACTGTTTTGTCGGAGTTTCACCGACTCATCATGAGGCTGAACCCTCAACAGTCTGCAGAATCCCCTCACTGATTACACTGTAAATGATAATCTACCTTAACCAAAATCAAAGTAGACTATCACTCACCCACACCAGATGGAAAACTCTACAGACTGTCGGTTCMCACCCCATCABAAGCCAGCAAAACATCCACGAAACAAAGAAAGGTCTGTCACAGCCAAAAAATACACTCCAGACACGCCGCTGGCACTAGAGGCACAGCATGGCCGCCTAGTAACGGCCCCGACCACTGCCGCTCGACCTGACCGGAAAAAACCGTAGCAGGAAGCTAGCGAAGTCGTAGTATATATCGTCACAAACAGAACTGCCCGGTAAAACCGTAGGTATATATTTTTTGTGAAAACTAGGGCGCTGTCAAGGTTTTCAATTTTAACTTTCAAGTTTTAAGTGTGTTTCAGTCAAAGCGAGGGAAATCGTGAATGTACCCAACCCAGCTTTGGGGTTGGGTGGGGATGTGTTGTGTTCGAGAGATGCCTGAAGTGGATTTACAACTGAAAACGTGACTGCGCCGTAGTTATCCCAAAATATTATATCTGGAACATATGCTGCGCAAATAAGACAGGAGACCGAATAGTGGGGCGCATAGGTTCCCCGGGCAGATGCCACGAACACATTGTAGTGCATTTTGGTATGTTACCTTGCAGAGTTCAAAACGGTCGTTCCTCCTAGCAGTACACGAACTCCTGTGTTCGCAGCGTTGTTCAATGCCACCGCCCGAGCCTCCTCATATGTTGTTCCGCCCACGACGAATACCACAACTTCCGACGGCCTGCCATTGAGAACACAACCCGCAGAGTCGCAGCACAGTAGATATAGCACTTGTAAGCTGAAGCCTTTGGCTGGCATTGCTACCTTTCTGAGCCAACCATGATACACTTCAAAGTTCAAACTGAAAAATCTGGTTGTCTTTCGGACGCAAAGCAAGCCCCCCCCTTTACTTATGGGTACGCCCTCAAGTGGCAATTCACACTCCTCGGAAACCACCGCTAATCAAACAAACACTCCGCGAGACAACAAAAAGTTGCATACATGCACCCACTGCTGAATAGAGCAAAATGTTCATGTCAACGACAACCCGGGGGAGCTGACGTTAGCATGGGACTCTGCTCCTGCAAAACAATGCCCTAGCATCAGTAGTTACTGGATCTGGATGGAACTGAGGGGGACCGGGCTGGATTTGGATGGAAGCAAGGGGGGTTGTAAAACTTTGTATACATTCCTCATGATGGGGCATTATGTTATGTTTAGGGGGGCGGGGGGGGGGGGGGGGAGAGATAGGACGTGTATCAAGACTATCAAGTTCGTAACAACAGACACACGATGGAGCAAAGAACGACATGACATGGTTAAAACTTGACAGTTAAAACCCAAAGGAATTCACCGACATAAGGTAAAAAGAACTCAACTCGAGGAAAGATGAATGATCTTCAGGAGGAAAACCAGATGCATTTGTAAAGCTGAGACGACGCGTTCTGCAACCTCGATTTTGCGGAGGACAAATCGCCTCGAGGATCCTGGACTACCACAAGTGGCCAGACTACCGTTTTCGCCCGAACATTACGCACCCTGATTGTGAATGCATACAAGTCCTCAATCCTCCGATACAGTCACGATGAGCATGCGTCGAGTTCGAGGGAAGCGGTAGCATGACTCTGGAAGCCAGTAGAAAAGACAGTCAGTGGCTGACTCTGGGTCAGGTCAGCCAACAGGTTGGATTCAGCCACAGAGAGCGAATGCCAGCTGTCAATTGCGGCCTGAGGAAGGGCTACATGTACTCTTTCGCGACTTCGTTGCCTAGGCTCAGGTCACGAAACCGTTCACAGCATGTCTTCCATCCTCCTTCCTCTGGTAAGTAGTACTACCCCTCCCCTTTCAGCCCTGACTGAGGCCAGGGGGAGGCCCTGCTGGCTGCTGGGGGCCGGGCTGGGTCTCTCCATTTCAGTTTGCAGTTGTGTGACAGAGATCCTTAACGCGCTTGCCCGCACATGTGAAAAAAGGAAACAAAGAAACCACTCCCACAGCTGATCTTTAAAGAGCCACTACCGTCTTCACCTGAATAGAGCACTCTGTCATTATAGCTGTGCATCTGGTTTGGAAGTTGCACCAAATAGGGGCGTTCTGTTCGGGTGAAGGCAGTGACCCCCAAGCTACTTTGATATACTCCTGACTCTGGAGAAGCAAAACCTCGTTAATGTGCGCTCAGTGCCACCCACCACAGCAGGCGGCAAACATATACAGTATTATACACATATTTGCCACCGGGCTTTGTTTTCCAATCCACCCTTTTGCTATAACTCGAATGCAAGATTCAGCCGCTGGGCTCCGATCATGCCCTCAGCACCATAAAAACAAGCGCGAACGTGCAGGCCTGAAAAAATAAACAAGGTCATAGTTCCGTCAAACAGATTGGTCCAAGTGCGTGCATTTTTGCCACCAGATTCCTCTTTTTTTCTTTCACACATTCCACAGGTTCCCCCGAAGTGCTTAGCTTCGGAAGTGGCAGCGCATTATATAAAATTCATTGAAGGTAGCAGCTAGATATGTGCTCCACTCAGTGGAAGCAGTTTGCGAAGCTAAACTGTCAACGCCTCTCTCTCTCTCTCTCTCTCTCTCTCTCTCTCTCTCTCTCTCTCTCTCTCTCTCTCTCTCTCTCTCTCTGTATGTGTTTGTGTGTATCACACTCTCCCTTCCCCTCCCTCCCCCCCTCCCCCCCTTCCTTTCCTCTGAGCGGAAGTAGTCGGCCACTTTTACCGAAGTAATCATGCCTCTGTCTCTGCTCAAAGAGTTGGTTTGGTATTGTTGTTGACTCTGTGAGAAGTGGTTCCTTGGGATGTGATACTGTCTGGTGCAGTCGCAACACTGGCATATCCAGTGCTGTGACCTGTTCTGTAATACTAATCATTCATCATAGCTATGTTACCTCCTGACGATACAGACGCCTGTTCTGCAACGCAAGTCACTCATAACAGCCACGATATGCACAGGAGACTCACCGGCCGACGAGGGGTTTTCCAACAAAAGGATATTCCACATCTTTCACTCGGCCCTTTGTGATATTCTCGATGATCTGGGACAGTAGTGGCTGATGCTGGGCATATACATTGTCCACCCCCTAAAGAACATGGCAGGCAAAAAACAACAAGCAGGTCATTAGCACACCGAAACCGGAATGCCGAACACAACACCCATCACACTGAACCTGGGGAAAGACGAAGAGAGAGATGCATCATAACAAACATACCCTTGAAAACAGCACCAAGGCCACATAAAAAATGACGTCTTGAAAGGCCACTTGAAAAATGACGGATTGAAAGACCATTAAAAAAATAACACATCTTGACTCTTGAGTAAGTGGATTTTGAAACCTGCATTTTGCATTAAAAAAAAAGGAGTGAATCCCCAAAACTACCAAATACTGCACTCGACTTCCTGTCATTTTCTGTCCAGCTGCAATGTGGCACATATTCTTGAGAATTTCTGCATTATGCAACATCCCGCTTCGCCAAACAACAGAAATATGCCCATGACTGCAACCCGGAAGGCATCGCTTCAAGGTATTTAAAAAACAAAAACAAATCAAACTTGAAAAAAAGCAATGCTTTGCGCAATGAGGCTCACACAGAGATGGGGCAATTCCCGAGATCGCGTTTTCTCACCAATTTTGGAAGCCAGCCAGCCAGCCATGACAGCAGAATAACTTCAATAGCGATAAATTGCATGATGTACCAACTGGTCTAGCTCAGTTGGCACAACCCAAACTTTTGATTGAAATAAAGACCCGAGTTTGAACTCAAATGAGTGAAATACAGCAATTCTGAAAAAAAAGCCTAAGGCTGGTCAGTTGGATGATAATATCTGAAGGCTGTTGCCCTTTTGAAAAGGGGAAAAAAAAGAGACAAGAAAACATAGATAAATTGCATGATCCAGCAAAGAAAGACTTGGGAATTGCGAGGCTTCTAGACCTTAGCGACTCTTAGTTGGCCCATAGAAAAACCGGGGCGGGTCCGTGGTGAGGGGCCCGACCAGGGGACTACACGACAGGTCCTGCATTGGGGTCCTGAGCAATCAGTCGCCCGAGTCTGGATGTAGACGGGTATGGGGAGTGCCTTGCCGGAAGGTGCAGACACCGGACAGACAAGGGAACGACAGAAGCAAGGCCGGGGCATAAGCACATGGGGCACAGGCAGTACCATGCAGCAGCACTGAGAGAAGAAGCACCGCTTGAAGTAGATGCCAGGTTGACTCTTGGTCCCCGGCACAGAATCAGCCAAAGTTTATTCTTTAGATACCGTCGTGATTTCGTCTCTGAGAAGAGGACTTTACAATCCGTACGCATTCTACCTCTACACCCCATTACTCCGTCAGTGATTTCGTCTCTGAGAAGAGGACTTCACAATCCGTACGCCTTCTACCTCCACACCCCATTACTCCATCAGGCTTTGCCCATTGCAGAAAATTCTGCACAGCCGCCTCCCGTAGGAGTCCTGCAGGGCCATGTCTCAGTCCCAGTGCGACATTAAATAATTCCTGACTTGCACATTTGCCTTCCAACTTGATCCTGTAGTAGATAGGCAAGTCAACCCAGCGCAAACAATTTGCAACCCTAGTAGCCAGGGCAGAAGGTACTAAACATCACTGCGATTGGCCTGTGACCTGACATAGCGGGCCACGGTTAACTTCTCACAGAGATGTAGGCTGACCTGCATCTGTCAGTTGGCGAGTCCCTAAGTGCCAGGGGTCCTAGAGGGCATAGGGCCTGGAGCCTGGAGCCGCTAGCCACATACTCAAGCAGGGAACCAAGTCGGCGCCGCACGGCTGGCCCCGTGGTCCTGTCTGGGACGTTAAAGAAATCCTGAAGATGTACGGCCTGTCTACGGATAAAGCTGTTGGCTAGTCCCTTCTACATTCTAACGACCCCAGTGAGGAGTACTTAAGCCACCAGCATGTTCACCAGCCATTTTTCTCCAACACAGCATGCATGTGTCCGCAAGTTTCGGGGGTCGGCCTACCGGAGTAAAACGGCTGGTAGCACCAGCCAAAACCAGGCCCCATACTGGTTCGTTTTTTCCTTCTTCGCACAGGGCATTTCCAGGCTCAGCAAGGGAAAGGTCGAAGGTACTGATGGTTTAAGAGTGGAACTCGGCCACAAGTTTCGGGGGTCAGCCTACAGGAGTAAAACGGCTGGTGGCACCAGCCAAAACCAGGCCCCACCCTAGTTCATGTTTTTTTGGTGCACACGACATTTCCAGGCTCGGCAAGGGAAGGGTGAAAAGTACTGATGATTTAAGAGTGGAACGTGAACAGCAGAGGATGCAAAGGATGTGGAGCAGAGGGAGAGCAGAGGAAAATAAAGGAGGGCGAAGAGGAGGAGAAGGAGAAACAGACGAACGGAGCAAAGGAGGAGGAGGGAAATTGTTGAGGAAACTGATGAGGAAGAAAAAGAAAAACAGTCTGGGTTTTGAGAAGATATGCAGGTGAAAATGCGTCAACCACTTCAACTTACAAGAGTTGAAGTTGACCCTCGCTGGTACCTCAGCGACCCCAGCTTTGCAGTCTGGAGCCACTAACCCTCTTGACAAACATATGGCTGCACCTTCAACTACTAAAAATTCGGAAGACTGCTGAAGCTGCTCATGCGGCCCTGAATTTTAAGCAGTTGAAGGTGGCTTCAGAACGGCCTGAGAAACAGAAGCAAATGATTGGACAAGGTAACTAGATTCGGTCACTCTGATGGATGTTAAATGAATGACCGCTGATCTACCAACGCAGATAGCAGAACAGAAGATGAGCACTGAACTGACCGTGGCAGCAACCCTGGCACTGAATGGGACAGAGAACATGGAATTGGTGCCAGACCAGGTTGAGGGCATCCGCAAATCACAGGATGAGTCCTAGGAGGTGATGGAAGGCAGATTCAAAGCGACGGCTGAAAATTTTGGGAAACTCCTGGAAGCGCTTGAGACAGGGTGAAATGGAGATCGTGGAGATGGAGATGGAGATGGAGGAAATGGAGAAGGACCAGTTAGTGGAAGCCTGAAGAAGATGCATCGGATGACCGAGATGGAGATGGAGATGGAGGAAATGAAGTTGATACGGTGCAGAGATGGAGGAAATGGAGATGGAGATGGAGATAGAGATGGAGCTAGAGCTGGAGCTGGAGATGGAGATGGAGATGATGGAGATGGAGATGGGAGATGGAGATGGAGATGGAGATGGAGATGGAGATGGAGATGGAGATGATGGAGATGGAGATGATGGAGATGATGGAGATGATGGAGATGGAGATGGAGATGGAGATGGAGATGGAGATGGAGATGGAGGAAATTAAATTGATACGGTTCAGAGATGGAGGAAATGGAGCTGGAGCTGGAGCTAGAGCTGGAGCTGGAGATGGAGCTGGAGATGGAGCTGGAGATGGAGATGGAGATGGAGATGGAGATAGAGATGCAGCTGGAGCTGGAGCTGGAGCTGGAGCTGGAGATGGCGATGGAGACGATAGTGGAGGTGAACAAGATGCATCAGACGAAGGTAGGTCAAGCACTCGAGACAGGGTGAAGTCGAGATTGCCTGGCCCCTATCACCAAAAGAAGGATGAGGACTAAGTTGTTATGGATAGCAGAGATCAGAACCTACATGAAAATCCCGCGCCTTGCCGTAGATTTCCAGGTTTGGTGGGATGCTATTACTTCGGGGATGACATGAAGGCATGGGTAATGGGCCAGATACAGGAAAAGGGGTACAGGAATCACAACAATACGTATGGGGAAGAGAACATAGATTTAGATGAGTTCATAGAAACGAAAGTTAGAGATCGGTACGGAGAAGATCTGTACTTCAGAGGAGTAACAAACTGCGTAAGAGAGAGACCCCGCAAAGTGCCAGAGTACCGAATGACCAACAGCTTACCATCTCTCACATCTCGTGGTGAAGATAGCCTCTGTACCAAGTGGTGAAGAAATCAGTAGCACTGTGTTCGGTCCGCGGCGCAGAAGCATATTTTGGATGGAGGATGCCTACATGTGGCATTCATAACTTCATAAATGTGGACAGGGATGAAAGCCAACTACATTCAACACATCTGGGGGTGCAAAACATTCCAGTGCAACAAAAGAAGAACCAAAACACCCTTAGGACTGCTGAAGGTGCTCCCCACTCCCTCTGGAAGTGGAGAATCAGTCTCAATCACTTCATCATACGAAGGTCAAGCGTAGACAAAGTCAAGTCTTGTTTTTTTTTTGAAACAACAGCGGATGCGGCAGGTTTTGAGTTCACAAAGGCAAAAAAAACATGCACCGGCAAAGAAAACAGGCCCGGACTTCAAAACGGCATCTGACACCACGGCCGACCCCTGCAAAATATGACACCCGGCCTGACTCCACGGCTGTTGGTACTTTCATTGCTTTTCCGAACTCATCGCCCGGCTTCTCGGCGCGTGTTCTTTATGCTTATTCGATACGATACTCAAAAGTGACATGAACGTACTTACATCTTTCTTTCACCTTCCAGTAGTACGTACCGGTTCAGCGAATACACGAAATTCATCCTGTTACCAGCAGAAGCGAAGCCACAGCTTATCAGCTCAAGGCTTTTTGGAAGTTTTTGCACACTGGGCATAAGAATTACAGATACCCTTTGCCCATAGTAGTGATGGAGATGTTAGACTTATGGGTGAGCAGTTGCAACAGCTGACCAAAGTGTATGGTTCTCAGTTCACCATATCCTCAGTTAGACATCCGGAGACAAATCGACAAATGGGAACACGATACCTATAGGTCATGTGGAAGAGGACAACCACAGAAGCAGTATAAGGTATGGTTCCAGCACCAGGAACATGACGATGACGGATACTTGACAAAGGCAGAACTAACCGAGACCGCCCCTAAAATAGTCTCGCATTACGAGATGTCACAGAGGGGTATTTGAATTGATGACAGGGGAGAAAGACCGTAACTTTCTCAGAGGACCTTGAAACCGGCTGGGCGGGAGTGAAGGGATTTCACAGTCGTCAGAGTGCGGTCCCAGTCCCAACGTCCTAAGGGCCCTTTCATATTTCACGCTCTGCAGAAGTCCGTGAACATTCGGGAAACGATGAAGGGCGAACATCCACGGACGGCCGGCTACCCGTACTGGTCTGGAACGTCCAAGGGAACAGAAGCTAAATCGTGGAATGCAAAAGCACAGCAGCAGTTGGCGTCGGCACACAATTTCCATTCGTGATAGTTGAATCACTGTTGCGATCTTGTGTGGCCAAGTGATGAGTGAGGCTGTAGTAAGGCAGAGAATCAACAGGCACGGGGCGCCATAGCTGAACTAGGGTAGCGAGCCATACGGCATTCAGAGAGGGAGAGGGTAGCAAGATAGAGAGAATGAGAAACTTGAGAAAGTCCTTTCTTGGTTGTTGTGGGTCGGCAGTCATAGCCACCGGGTTCTGTAATAAGACATTTCAAGCAATTTTGAGGTTCTCATATGTCGTGTTTGGTTTCCAGCTGCCGTGCAATCAAGTGTGCTCTCGGTACGGTGTGACCTGCCGCCGTTTGAAGCATGTGCTTATGGCACTTGCCAAACGGCAGGTAGTCTAGTGAGAGGATATGAAAGACCAAACAGTAGCAATGGTTACCCGGAATGAAGGTATCAAAGGTACATTAACTCAGCATATAGACCGGAGTATGAAGAGTCCTGCAATTCAACTGTGAAAGTTCCCTCGATAACACTCTGCATCGGAAGAAGTATGCACTGGCTAACCACATAGGAGGGAGAAAATATTCAAGAATATGTTGACAAAAGTGCAATGACACACTGGAATCTGTCCAGAGAAAGAAAGGAAGAATGAGCAAGGACATGAAGGCTCCACCCATGACTTGGGGTTGCGTGATGGATTCATAGCGCATGCTTTTCATGCCTCCTGAATGACTGTGGTGAGGATGCACTTCATCACAACAGTGGTAGTACAGGCGAAGGTCGGTCCAAAAAAAAACAAAAGGGCGACATCACAGGTATCCAGTACTATCAATTCATGATGGCCCTCAATGACCTGAACTCAGCCTCCAGCAGAACTCAGCCTGCACCTGAACTCAGCCTCCAGCAGAACTCAGCCTGCACCTGAACTCAGCCTGCACCTGAACTCAGCCTGCACCTGAACTCAGCCTCCACCTAAACTCAGCCTCCACCTGAACTCAGTCTGTAGCTGAACTCCAGCCTCCAGCTGAACTCAGTCTGTAGCAGGTGGCAGAATGAAGACCTGCACAATGGGAGAGACACAATATAGTCTGCTCAAATGCCAGCTTTCCTTCTTATACCATCCAGAGCTGCAGAATGGCAGAGACACAATAGTGTTGAAACGGTTTCACCCAGATTGTGCGACAGTGCAGATCCCACAGCTCGATCCCTAGGCCTACCCATACCCCGTGTGAATCTACCCGTTGACCCTGTGTGCCTTGAACCATGGCTGTGCCGGCAACCGGCCGGTTGGACCGGCCCGGATCCAACCGGGGCCGGTTGGACCCCCGGTGGTCCAACCGGAATTCCGGTTGGGTCCAAAACTGGGTCAAAAAAAAATATTTTATTTTTTTGAAAACATGGTTGGACTGCGCTCACCAAGATCTCCCCGAATCCGCAAAGAAAACTTTGAACAGAGAAGTTTCGTTTGGGGGGTTGGGGGG